TAGATGGGAAATGTAACGATTCTACCCTGCTTAGCAACTTGTTGGATGAGATGAAAGAGACATTGTCCAAGTGCTGAATATTCCTTATAAAATATTCCAACAACAAGAAACACACCCAACGTGTAAAGACGAGCAGACCCAAGTGTTAAGTTTCTCCCTCGTACGCATGTACTACCCTGGGGCACGTGCTTTCAGTTAACTCCACCATTGGTTGCAGTTTAGACATTTTAAGGCTGTATGTTACCTTTTTATTTTCAGAACTTTTTACAAACTGTGGTGTTAACCCTTTCTAGCCCAAAGAGATCCTGGTGACATGACTGGAGGAGGGAGGGAGGGAGGGAGGGGTGGGCACTATTTATTCAGCAGCTCATGATGATCCCATGACCTTCATCTGTGTGGGACGGCGACTGAGCAGGACTTTATCAACAGTAGCACAGTTTGTTGTTTGTGCTTATGCCAGGGAAGGTTGACTTAATCCTTAGCCATGAAATATGTCTTCAGGGCTGCTGTAGTTGATGTATATTTCTAGCAGAGGCTGGTGCTGGACCAGAAGGCCTCTTTTTGTTTTTTTTTATATATATATATATGATTTATTATTATCTCAAGATCTATTGTGATCAGCATATAAATATCCTCCATCTCCTTGAGCTAATCCAAAGGAGCCCTGTGGGAACTGGGATGTTTGAGTTTCTGTTTATAGTAGTTGCCTTGAGCCTTAACCTTCCTTTAGTGAAAGCTGGAAGAGTTGAGTGTGGAAGCATGAAAGGGCTGGAAGTGTTATTGTTTGGGTCTGTGCTCCCCTCGACTGCCCCACACACGGAATCTGTGAGGCCTCTCCCCTTCAAGCTGTCTCTGCTGATGTGTTTTATGAGTCCACTTCAATTTCACATTCCTGAACAGTTAAGCTGTAGCAAAAAACTGGAAATCCAAAGGGGTCTGTTCCTGCTTTTTTTATCCTTTTGTTCACCAGCTGAGGTTGACCATTATCAGGTTAGAGAAACAGTCATGGGTGCAGGTCCATGTCCTCCCTCTGGGCTCTGAAACCAGCAGGGTCATTCTGTCTCTGTGTCCCCTCAGTGTCCCTCAGCCCTGCCCTTGCAGCTGAGAGCAGATTTGGCAGCACAAGTGCCCCTGGGTCCCTGTGGCAGAGCCTTCCCTGCCAGGGTGCAGGAGAGAGGGATGGATGGGGAGCCCCTGTCCCAGATGCAGGAAGGAGGAGGGATGAGGATCCCCTCTCCTTGCCAGGGTGCAGGAGAAGGGGTCATGAGGAGCTGCTCTCCCATGCAGGATAGGGAGGGGCCTGAGGGGCTGCAGATTTGGGACTGTAGCAGTTGCTTTAGAGGGAAGAAGTGAGAGTCTGGGAAGTGCCCATTCTGGACTATTGGAATCTTGTGGAGTCACTGACAGGAAAGGGCTGTCAGTGTCCTGCAGAGATGCTCAGTTGATGTCCTTCTCCAACATCCCTTGCTTTCAACATATTTTTTATTCCCTTGCTCCATTTCTTTCCTCGCAGTTCCACACCCAGTGAGCAAAACTCCATGGAAGGGTTTTGCTTTGAGGCACAGGTCAGGAGCAGTTGATTGCTCCAAAAAGGTGCCCAGGTTGGAGCTGGCTGTTTCTGCACGTCTCCAGCACCACCACCACTCCTGAAACACCAAACCCCATGCAGGGAGCAGGATAAAGTGTTGATCTTATTTGTTGGGTGATGTCCTGTACTTTACGCGTGTCTTGTGCTCTTTACGCTCTTCCCACAGGAGGTATTTTGGCAAAGGCTCTGCTCTGGTGCTCTGGGTTCCTTGCCAGGCCCAGCTCCGTGTCCGACCGTGCTGCCACAACGTGGAGGGTTTGGTTTTGGTCAGCCTCCCTTGGTTAGCCAGTTGTGTATTAGAAACTGAACATATTAAAATTGTCTTAAAGGATAATGTTCCTCAATTAGTGTTTGGGTTTTTTAATTCATGGATGAAAACTGTCACTTTAGCATGTAGAGTCTCTTACAGAATCCTGTGCAGTGATTCTAGAATTTTGAAACTGTATGATGTGTTACATTCACAAATTTATTTGCTATCAACATTCCCTGGAAAAAAAAAAAAAAAAGAAAACAACATACCACAAGCTGCTGTAATGATTTTGTGTCAAGATGATCCAATAAACTTTCAAAACAAAGTTAAATTTTTGGCTTTATAAATGGTCCTTTGATAAGACCGTTCCAGTTTGGATGGACCCAAAATCAAAGCATGGATTTTACCCCAGGGCTGAATAATTTATCTTCAGTGGAGGTAAGAGGAATCTCCTTCCTAAAGGAGGTAGGGAATTCCTAATGCCACCCCCTTGAAAGGCAGCTCTGCAACAGCAGCTGTCACTAACACTGAAATTACAGGAAAAAATAATTCAGACTATCTCAGTTAAATCTCCATTGATTGTTTTATTTTTTGGATCATGATTGCAGCTAAAATCCAACACTTGTAAAATGGGAGCTCTGGTCTGAATGAGGCCGGAATTGGCCCCTGCTGTTGCTTCCTCTTGGCCTTCAGTGAGATTTGTGACAAACGTGGTGACATTGATCTGAGGATTAAGGCCTTGTCCTGCCACAGCAGGAACGAGCTCTTGGCCTGGCTGATACCCCAGTGCTTTCCAGTCACACCAGAACCTGTGAGAATCATCTTGGGAAAGAAAATCCCTGGGGCTGAGAGTCAGGAGCCACCAGTTCTGCACTGGGAATTGCCCAGTAGCTTGCTGGCCCCATTGCTGGAGGAAGGATCCAGGTCCTCTGCTCTCAGTACTGCAATCCCACGTGGACCTGCACAAATCTGATGGAATGGGATGGAAACAAAAGGAAACCCCAACCCAGGAAGTGCCTGGAGCAAACCTCAAGTGTCAAATGAGCCACAGGAGCTGAACTGGGGCGCCAAGAGCTGATCCTGCCCCTTCTTCAGCCCTGGAGCGCTGTGTCCAGTCCTGGGCTCCTCTGGAGCAGAGCTGGAGCTCCTGGCATGGGAGGATGATGAGGGGATGAAGAATCTCCTGTGAGGAAAGGCTGCGGGAGCTGGGGCAGGGGGAAGAACAGTGATGAATATAGATACAGACAACACATATATATAATATATATGGATATATAAAGTGACAGAGCCAGGGCCAAGCAACAGCGTCAGAGGTAAGGGGAAGGAATTGAACACGGGAAATTCCACCTGAGCAGGGGGAGGACTTTGCCCTGCAAAGACAGCTGCCTGTGATAGAGCTCCCAGAGGTGATGAGTCACCTTCCCTGGAGCTCCTCAAAAGCCATCTGGACACAATCCTGATGTGCTCAGGGGCCCCTGCTGAGCCAGGTGAGCTCCAGTGGTGCCTCTGTCCTTGGTTCTGTGACCGGGAGTTGCCCACGAGCTTGGCACACGGGCTCCTGCCCTGGGGCAGAGCATCATCTGCTGCTCGTGGAGGAATCCTGCCAGAGGGGCCCTGCTGGAGCAGGAGTGGGATCAGCTGCTCCAAGTGCTGCCCTGAGCCGGGGCCAGCTCGGGCAGCCAGAGACCCCGGGGAGCTGAGGCTTCAGCCCGGGTTCTGCAGCTCAGCTGGGCTGGAGAGGGGCTGTGAACACCCCTGGGCTTGTTTAGCCTGGAGAAAAGGAGACTCAGGGGTGACCTTATCACTCTGCAACTCCCTGAAAGGTGGCTGTGCTCAGGTGGGGTTGGGTTCTTTCTCCAGGAACTGACAGAACCAGAGGACACAGCCTCAAGCTGCCCCAGGGGAAATACAGGTTGGATATTTGGAAAAAAAATACAGATTGGATATTAGGAAGAAGTTTTTTACAGAACGGGTGATAAAGTTCTGGAATGGCTGCCCAGGGAGGTGGTGGAGTCACCATCCCTGGGTGTGTTTAACAAAGCCTGGATGTGGCGCTGGGTGCCAGGGTTGAGTTGGGGTGTTGGGGCTGGGTTGGACTCGATGATCTTGGAGGTCTCTTCCAACCCCGTGATTCTGTGAATTGGGGTGTGGGCTGGGGGCTGTGAACACCTGAGGGACTGAACTGGGCTCTGCAAAGGTTGTGGGGCACCTGGGATGGAGAACTGCAGGCTCCAGCCAGGAGTGCTGGAAAAGCCCTGGTGGGGCGAGGCCCGGGAGGTCCCACAGGCTCTCTCCAGCTTTTAGCACCTTTTGATTTTGGGCTTCCCCGGGATTTCCCACCGGGGTTTGACTTTCCCCATCCTGACATTGTGAGAAGTTGCCTTTGAACAGGGGCTGGCTGGTTCTGGCCACTTCTCCTTTCTATGACCTTAAAGTTGAGGTCTGGGCAGGTCCCTGCAGCTGCCCCCGTTGGACCAATGCCCTGCTCAGAGCCCTATGAGCATTCCTGCCCTATCCCTCCTCCCAAAAACACAGTGAATAAATGGGAATAAAGGAAAACAAACAGAACAGAATAAATCGAGGAAATACATTTTCAAAAAGAAAATAAAGCAGAATAGAAGAAAACAAAAGGGAAGAGAGGGAGATGACTGGAATGGAATAAAAGAAAAAAATAAATACAATTACAAAAATAAATACAAAGAATTATGTATTAATAATAGAATTAAAGAAAATAAATAATAAAAACAGAAGAAAACAAAAATAAAATTGAAAACAAAAATGAATAGAAAATTAAAATAGAATAAAAATAAAAGAGATAATAAAAGAGAAAATTAAAAGAAGATTAAATAGAAAATAAAATAAAGATAAAAGAGAAAATAAAGATAAAATAGAAAATATGATAAAATAGAAAATTAAAGATAATAAAAGAAAATAAAAGGAATTCAGATTAGTAGAATAAAACATTGGAATATAACAAAAGAACATAGAATAAAATAAACCAGACTAAAATGTTAAAAATTCCATAAAATACGAACTGTCCCCCCCCCCACCATCCGCTGTGCATTTCCCCTCCCCGGGCCGTCCCTCCCGTGGGCGGGGCCGGCGCAGGCGGGGGCGGCCCCTTTAAGGGGAAGTAGCGCCGGCCGCGAGCGGCGCGCGGGAGCGGCGGGAGCGCGCGGGCGCGCGGGGCGTGCTGCGGCCCGCGGTGAGCGAGTGCTGCGGCCCGGGAGCTGTGCGCGTCCGCCGGCGAGGGACCGCGGCCCGGCAGGTGCGGGGAGCGGGGCTGTGAGGGGCTGGGGGCGGTGTGAGGGCATGGAGAGGCTGTGAGGGAGGAGGGCCCCGCGGGACGGGCTCGGAGGGGCCGCCGGGGAAGGGGCCTGGCGGGGGCCGCGTGTGCCCGGCCCTGCCCACGTGTCCCCGCAGCCCCGGGGCCGCGTTCCCCGTCGGGGCCGGGCCGGGACCTGTTGAGGCGCGGCGCCGCATCCCCGCTCTGGCGGTAATTGTGTGTGCCTGGGCCCCGCGGCCCGGCCCGAGCCCCTCAGCAGGGCCCGGAGCCCCCCGGGCCCGGGGCACGGATCAGGCACGGATCCGCCTGTGCTGGGGCAGAAACCCCTCGGATGGGACATCCCCGAGCAGAGCTGCTGAGCCCCTTCAGAGGGGTCCGACCTGCCGCAGGATTCGTGAGCAACCGAAAAATCCATAATGAGGAAAAGAGAATGTCTCAGAGAGTTGCTGGCACAACTGTGAAGTTACAGCTTTCAACTTCCCTATTTTATCCCACCTTCTCGACACTCTCCAGCCCAGCTGCTGTAGGTAAAGGTGTAGCTCTGAAGTTCCAACCTTTTAGTCTTTAAACTGGTCGGGGAATGAGGAATTTTCCACTTTTTTTTCAGGTCATGGTGAGCCACAGCTCAGCTGTCATGGGGGAGAATGTGTCAGGAGAACTTGAAAGCAAATTCTTGCTCTGCTTCTGTCTCTTGCTGCAGGCTCAGGAATTCTGATCTTACAGAGCTGCCTCTGCTCTGATCTGTGCGTAGAGAGCTCAGCTCCTTCAGAGAAACCTGTGTGAGAAGGACAGGCAAAAGGAAAGGGCAGGAAGTCCTCTGGAGGGAAAGGACAGAGGATCTGGAGTTGTCAGTGTCCATCATCGATGTTTGGGGAAAAGCTTTTCTGTCAGTGCTAGTGAAAGGTAGGATTCACTCCTCTTAGAGCTTGGAGCTGCAGAGTGGCCACAGCCACTCTGGATTTTCATCCCTTTGTTAAAAGCCCCTTTCCGGTCTGGAAATCTTCTGCCAAGTTGCAGGGCAGGGAGGGATTTTGCTGGGAGATGTGAAACTTCCCCAGCCACCTGTTTATCACAGTCCCCAGGGCTTTGTCCTTGTCTTCTGCTTCCTTTCCCAACTTCAGGCTCGCTTCCAGCTCCCTGTTTGTCCATTGCTGTTCCCTGGACTGTGTATCCCATGTTTCAGATTCACTTTCTGTCTTAGTCACTTCCTGTGAGGTGAATCTGGGGTGAGCTTGTGACTCTTCAAGATCCCCAGAAAGAGGGAGAGCAGCATTGGGAATTCTTGCCAGTGGTGGTAAACCCTGGAGCTGTTGGTTTATAGCGAGGTGCTGAGCAGGGAGCTGGTTCCCTGTGCCTGGCTCACCTTGCAGCTCCCGGGATGCTCTGATGCTCTGTCACCTGTGCCATCATCAGACATGGAAATGGGCTCCCGTGTGCTTGGAGCAGACTCAGCATCCTGAGCAAAGCTGTCCTGCTTCACTTCAGCTGCCTCTGGAGCTGTTTGCCAGCTGCTTCCTCGTCCACATCTAACATGGCCCTTCTGCTGAAGGGGTGAAAAGTACCCCCGACACTGGAATGGGGTGATTTAGTCCCATTTTTGAGGTTGGGCTGTCCAGATCTGTGCTGTGCTTGGTCACTCTTGCTTCTCTGTGAAGGCCAGGGATCTCCGTGGCCACTCTAATGAAAGTGTCCCATGTGAGTAGTGAAAGTATCTGGGGTCAGAGCACAGAGATTACAAAACCTTTCCAATCTTGCCCACAGGTCTGGGAAGGGAATTGCTTTCAATTTCTGAGTCTTAATTTCTAGTAAGACAGGGAAGTATTTTTTGGTTCTTGACCCATAAAAGCTGCTGTAAGTGGATGTAGAGCCAGCTTTACTGGAGGTTTATCAGCTTATCTTTAGGAATATGTAATACCCAGCTAATGCTGTCAATAAAGAGTGCACCCTAGGCTGCACCTTTATCCTCCTTTTTCCAGATGCCCCTGGGAGGCAGAGTTATCCTGAGACCTGGTTTGGTCTCCTGCCTGCTTCGCTCTGGAGCTGGTGGTGTGGTAGAGGTGCTGCTCTGCTCCTGGTTTAAATGGGTGGGTTTTTGCTGTGGATACATGAAGCAGAAGGAAGGGCAGAGGAAGGGATGGAGGCAGCAAAGGCTAGAAAAAACCCCAGCAAAACAGCAACTTTTGCAAGTGGGCAAAGCCAGAGCAAAACAATCCATCACACTCTGACAGCTTTGACTTCCTCCAGAAAACCTGGCTGAGGTCCCAAAGGGCTGGTGCTGGTGTTGGGTCAGTGTGAGTGAGACGAGGCCACCGTGGTGATGCTGCCGGATGCTCCCATGTGTGACCCTGTGCTGATTCCAGGGAACTCGGGGGACAGGAGGTGAGCTGGAGCCACCCAGGCTGAGGCTGCAGCAGGAGCTGCACTGAAAGGCCCTGTATATTCTGCAGGCCTCTCTTGAGGCTGTTGTCTGGCTGCCTTTGCTTCCTTCTGTCTTTCCTCTGGCTGTGTGATGTGGTTGGTGTTGAGGTGGTCTCCAGCTCCACATCCATGGGCTCGTTCTCTGCCTGGAGCTGTGCTAAGGGATTGAGTTATTCACATATCTCCTGCCAGGGCAGGAGAGGCCTCGTGGGCCTCTGCTGTCAGCAAGAAACAATTCTGCCATTCATCCCAGAGTGTGACATTAACATAGGGAAAAGGGATGTTTGTCCCTGGGATTATCCATGCTCTGGGAAAGGCTGGTTGTGTGGCCAGCTCGTGCTCCGGCTCAGCCCTGGGGTGTGATCCCACACTTCCTGGGATCCCAGCCCACTGTTAGAATGGTGCCATAGTCATTTTATCCTAATGCAAATTTCATGCTCCAAACTGATGTTAGCTTTGACTTGGGTGGGGGCAAATCCCAATGTTAGAGGGAAATGGAACTGCTGTGGGCCCAGAAATATCCCTGCCCAGTGAGGACAGTACAGAGCCTGTACAAGCAGGGAGAGACGAGCAGCTCAGCTGGGACTTAATAAACACCACCCTGCCCTTCCAGCCCTGCAGTGGGAACACAAGAGGCCTTCCCAAAGGACCAGGCTGCTCTGGGGCCTGGAAAAGTGGGAGCTGCTCCTACTATGCCATCACTGGCCGTGCTCTTCCCTGGAAATACTAGTGTGTGCAGTGAACCTGTGTGTGGAGTCGTGACCCAGCTTGGCAGCTTAGCACAGCCCTGCAGGATTAGCTCTGCCTCCACACGCAGCCCCATCCCGGCTGGATCTGTGGAGACCTTCCAGCAGCAGGCTCTGACATTGCAATGGGTGCAGATGTCACGTAAGAGGCAGCAGGGCTGGCCCTGAGTCAGTAACACCCGGGGCCCCGTGGGGCTCCCTGCAGTCACTGCTGCTCCACAGGAACAGTGGGAGATTGCAGCATCTGCTGCCTGACCTTTCCCTCTGGGGAGGGAAGCAGGAGGGGACCTTTTACAGAACTTACTTTCTCATGTGGCTTTTCTCCCTCTGTGGCTGTGGGGAGGAAGGCCAGGGGGATGAACCACGCTGGAAATTTGGGTTTCTTGCCTTCCCTCTCCCTTGCCAGACTGGGTTTTCCAGCCTCCCCAGCGCTCGCTGTGCTCCCTCAGCATCCCTGTGCAGTGTGAGCAGTGTCACCCATAACGTCCCTCCTGTCACTGCCTGTGGTCTGAATGTCAATCCTGAGCTTAAGCCAAGCAATAAACTCCATGTTCATCCATCTGCCCGGGATGGGTGCTGCTGTCTCACTGCTGGCTGACCTGGGCTCTCTGCTCCAAGCAGCAGCATTCCCACCTGCAGCTCTTGATGGGCTCTGCCAGAGCTCCCCTCACCTCTGGTGAGTCCTCTGCTATCCCAGGTACTGCTTAAGTTAACAGGGCTTTTCCCTTTATTCCATAAACTAACTCAACTTTAGGATTGCCTGGAATGCTTGGCTTTGCAGGGGTGAAGGACATGCTTTAAGCCCAGGATAACTATTTTTGGTCTTTTATTATGCTTTTTTCTTTTCTCATGCATATAACCTTGTCCTGCTCCTAAAGCAACCTCTTCCCCTAAGCCACCCTCTTTCCAGGAAGGGCCTGGAGACGTGGGAAGTCCCAGGAGAATTCTACTGTTTCTTACTCTCGGGAATTTCCAAACTGTGCAGCAGATTGGAATTGCAGAGCCTGGGGGTGGCTGGCAACAGGCAGGACCTTCTTAAAGCTGCCTCTGGTGAAAGACAAAAGGCTCTTTGTTTGCCCAAACCTTGGGAATTCAGCATTTCCAGCGTGCCCCTGTTCAGATTTAGTTGCGAAGGCTGCTGCTAAAGCACTTTCTAAAAGAAAAATGTGGATGTTGTCCTGCAGAGCAGCAGAATGAAGTGGGGTTGGAGGTGCAGCTGGGCCGGGTCGAGCTGCTCCTTCTCCAGAAACTTCTGAGCAGCTTCGGCTGCCGGGGCTGAGCGCGGGGGGCGGACAGGGAAGGCAATGCCGAAGGGAACGGCCGTGGCTCTGCTCTCCTGCTGCAACATGGAGTGATCCTGCGGGAGGAAAAACAGAGCTTGCAGAGGGAAGGATTAGCTTTTGGGAAAACATTGGCAGCTCCCTGGGCCGGGAGGCTGGAGGCAGTGCCAGACAGGAAGCGGCTGACGTGGAAGTGCCGGCTGGCCGGGATTATGAATGGCCAGGGTGCCTTCCAGCCACCCTCCTCGCCCTGCCCTGCCCGAGGTAAGCACGGGGCAGACCTTCGCTCCTCATATCACAAATCCATTCGAAAGAGCAGCTGGAAGTCTTGTCCCAGGAAGGCAAGCCCTCATTTGTTGCCAGACTGGCTCTGGAGGCGCAGAAACTGGCTGCCATTAGTGTAGTGCGGCTGCCAGGATTGTTCTGCTCCTCGCTCTCTGTAGTAAAATCTCTTCTTTGATCAGAGAAAACCAGGATCATCCTGTCTCAAGACACTGAGCTAGCGCAGAGTGGCCATGGGAAGGGATTTGTGAAAGGAGGGGGGTGGAATCGTGGAAAAAATGTGCGTGTTTGTCCGTCTTGGCTGTTTTGTGCAAGTTGCCTGTTTGAAGCTGCTTTTCTTCTCTTCCTCTCTCTGTAAATTCAGGTTTTTACTTGAAATGCTCGTCTAGAATACCTTTATCAGGACTGCTTTATCAGTCAGGGGTGTTTGTGTCCTGTGTTGTGAACTCTGGTCTGGCATTAAGGGCCCTGGGAATGGCTTGGGGGGAGCAGGATCGAGTCTTCCCTCTTCTGGGAGCTCTGGGGACACGGTGGCTGTCACAGGCTCCCCAACCCAAGGGTTACAAGCAGCTGGACTCGGTGGGATTCGAGGACAGCAGCCTGGCTTCCCGGATAGGATTTTCCTGGCCAAATCCCTGATTTGAAGAGCTGCATTGCTCCCTGGGCTGTGCTGAAGGGCTGTTCTACCAGAGGCAGCAGGATGTGGCCGGCGAGGCGCTGGGGTCACGGAGGAGGGAGGTGGCCTCGTGTCTGACCCCTCCCCAGCTGCGGAGCCGCAGGGTTGGGGCCGCCCATGAAACAACAGAAACGAGCGGGGAGGTTTTTTCCCCTCTTTTGAAAAAGGAAGCTTGGCCTCAGTGCCTGCCAGTGCTGACAGAGGGTGCAGAGCAGGGCTGAGCCCTCTGCAGGAGTGACCTGCTGAGGCCAGGAACAGGTAGGAGCTTGCTGACTGCTGCCTTGCTGGTTTTCCCTGGCTGTTGTTAAACCCCTGTGCAGTGTTGGCAGCAGAGGGGTGCATGGAGTGCTGCTGGGGCTGGCACTGATGGTGCAGTCATGGGACTCCTGGAGTCCTTTTTTGGGCCATTCTGCCTCTGTAGGGAGGGCAGGATCTGTCGGGAACTCTGCTGGCTCCTGGAGAACCTCGCAATGCCTCAGCAGGGTGCAAGGGGAGGCAGTTTCCTGGTGTTTTGGAGGAGGTGACTCTTCCCTTTACCAGACTCTGAACTGCTTTTACAAGTGACCAAGAGTTGGAAAGCAGCCTTCTTCTGCCCAGAGCCTGGTGTTAGAGCAAGGTAGCTCCTCATGATCCACCATTCCTGGCGAGGGAAGAGGAATGGCAGGACCATGCCAACATTCCTGGCAGCAAAACCAGCACAGGAGTGGAGCTGCAGAAGCAGAGAGTCAGAGAAAAGGAACTTTCGGGATGGGAGGGGAAGGGAGGGCTAGGCCTTGAGACCCCTGAGCAGGCAAGTCCAGCATAGCAGGGAGCTGCTCCTCCCGTGTCCCTGGGATAAGCTGGAGGTGTGTGTGCCCTGGACAGCCCACGGGGGTCACGGGCCCTGTGATCCGAGCGCTGGCCAAGGTCCTCTCGGAGCACCGCTGACGTCTGCTGTGATCCTGGCTGCCTGAAAGGAGGCGGCAATAAAACGTACTGAGGTTTGTTTAGTGGGGGGAGTGGTTTTTCCCCTCACCTTTAAAGCTTCAGATACCATCCAGGTGCTTTGCATGTCCCATTTCCCAATTGTTTCTAACCTTTCCTTTCCCTTGTGTGTGGGGGCGGTGTCAGCTGTGACTCCTGCCTGTGGAAGTAGGTGTTGTACAGATGATATCATCTCCGAGCAATGTCAGGGATGCTTTGGTCTCTGTGCCTCTTTATTTTTATTTTTTTCCTAGAGCTAAATGTTTCTTTTAGCTCATTGCAGTCAGAGACCATAATTAAATAGGCTGCATCTGCTTGATGTCTCAGCTACTCATTTTGCTAATGCTTCACACAGATGCTGAATCGTCTGAGAGACAATTGCTCTGTGTTGAGCTCCCCTGTTCTCAGGGATGATGTCTTCATAGGATCAGGAATTTGTTTGTAGGACAAGTACTGCCTCCTACACCAAGTGAACTGCTCTGCACAGAGACCCTGACAAATGTGAGGGCAAGGAAATCCCCAGCCATGTGCAAGGGTAAGAGTCAGATCCTGCCAGGGATGGGGCAGCCCGGGATGCAGGGACAGGCTGGGAATGAGAGGCTGGAGAGCAGCACCGTGGGAAGGGACCTGGGGGTCCTGGTCAGTGGCAAGTTGGATCTGAGGCACCGCTGAGTCCTGGCAGCCCAAAGGGCCGCCCTGTCCTGGGGGCAGCAGGCCAGGGAGGGATTGTCCCACTCTGCTCTGCCCTGGGGCAGCCTCAGCTCCAGTGCTGGGGGCACTTTGGGCACCACAAGGTCAGAAGGAGCCAAAGCTGTTGGAGAGTGTCCCAAGGAGGGACACGGAGCTGGGGAAGGTCTGAGGAGCGGCTGAGGGCACTTGGCTCGTTCAGCTGGAGCACAGGAGATGAGGGGAGGCTCCTGGGGGCTGCAGCTCCTCCCGAGGGGAGGCAGAGGGGCAGGGGCTGAGCTCTGCTCTGGGACAGCTCCTGGAGCCCAGCGAGGGCTGGAGCTGTGCCAGGCCTTGGCATGGAGCTCAGGGAAAGGTTCTTCCCCCCGAGGGTGCTGGCACTGCCCAGGCTCCCCAGGGAATGGTCCCGGCCCCGAGGCTGCCAGAGCTGCAGGAGCGTTTGGACAGCGCTCTCAGGGCTGCTCAGGGTGGGGCTGTTGGGGGGTCTGGGCAGGGACAGGGGCTGGGCTGATGATCCCTGGGGGTCTCTTCCAGCTCAGGATATTCTGAGATTCTATGAAGAGTCTCTCCATCCTGGTCAGATAAGAAAAATGGTTGGTGTTTGTTTCTTGATGTGTGGTGCCAAAGCCAGGGCATGTTTGTGTGGGTATTCTCAGTTCAGTCAGAGAGAGAGTATCTAACCAGGCAAGAGCCTGGTTAGAAACTCTCCTTTCTCTCTGACTGAACTGAGAATACCTATATTTTTGGTTTTACCCTTGGGTTTTACTCCATCCACATCCATGCCAGGCCCTGCAGTGCAGATCCTCTAGACAAGAAGCAGGGATGGAGTCACACTGCTGAGGGTGCTCCAATGAGCCCCATGGAGGGTGGTGCTCCTGCTGCTTTGTGGTTTCTTGTGTGAGAGGATGTGTTTTCCTCCATCTCCAGTGCAGGAAACTCATCACAAGTGCTTCCCTGGACTTGCTGCTGGAAGTAGCAGCAGCCTCAGCACCTGCTGCTCACATTGCTGGTTCCATGGGGCCCGTGCCTCAGTTCCAGGGTGGGCGCAGTCCCTGGAGCTTCCGGCTCTGTCACAGGATGTGGCCAGGCTGTGACACAGCTCCTGCTAACCAGCACTGCTCAGCTGTCTCTCCACACCCCTCACTTCTTCCTCTGCCACGTCTGGGGCGGGATCACGCTCCAAAGGACCCATCTGCCAAGGGTTTGTGCTGGGTTTGCCTCTCCTGAGGTGGCTCACGGGGTCACAGCAGCTGTTTTGGCAGCAGGAAGGCCAGGTTGGATGGGGCTTGGAGCAACCTCGTCTAGTGGAAGGTGTCCCTGCCTGTGTCAGGGAGTTGCAGCTGCATGGTCTTTAAGGTTCCTTCCAACCTAAACCATTCCATGATGACATATCTGCTCTAGATACACCTCTCAGCCCATGGTGGGTCCCACTGAACCACATTAAAATGCTTTTAGGGTTTCTCCCAACACATTATAGCCCATTATTGGGGTTTGGATCTCTCAGCTCCTGCATGAAAGAGGTTACTGAGCCCATTACCGCAGGAAATGTTGAGCCTGTTCTTAGTGAGGTAAACTGGAGTGGTTTGGGGTTTCTTCCTCACTGTAATTAAATAAGGAAACAAGAGGCCTTGGCTTTAAAGCTTTTTAATCTTTCTTCAGAGAAGAACTGCTGATTAGCACTGCAGCATCTGTTAGAGACGGGCTCGACTGCAGCCGTGGTAGTCATGACCTTGAGTTTGGGATGTGCTTGCCAGCATTTGAGGACACTATTTACCTATTGGAGCAACACTGAGGCCTCATGTAAACCTAAGTAGATTCTACTTGGAGAAAGAATTTTTTTTTTTTTTTTGCTTGCTTGTTTATAGAATTATGGAAACTTATTTATGCTATTTAAAGCATCAGCTTAATTTCTATTACTTTATTCATTTCTCTGACCAACACATGTAGAATAATATTTTTGGTACACAAAGCTTTCTGCCTTAAGCTTTCATCAAAGAGCAGCCTGGCATAAATTCTGTGAGGGGCTGGATGTGGGAACAAAGGAAGTATAATTAGCTACAGATAAACAGAGCTGTGTTTCTTGTCAGCATCCCTTCAGATCTCAACTTGTGTCTCACACTTGGAGCTGATTCTTTTCTACAATCTGGAAGAGGAAGATGAGCTTCCCCTCATCTTCCAGTTTTCAACTTGTAAACATGGCTAAACTGAAATGGGAAATATGTTTATGGTCTGTGTGCACCTGCAGAAGAGGCTGTGGCTGCTCTCAGGGCTGGTGTTATTTCAGGGTATTTGCTTTCCGGGTGCCTGAGCTGTGACTTCTCACTGCCCTCCACCTCTTGGTTCCTGTCTCTCACTTTCAGTGGCTGGTTTGGTGGGGGCTGTCTGGCAGCAGCTCTGAGCTGTCTTGTGGGCTGGCATGACCTGGCCTGGCCTTGTTCCCAGAGAGGGGATGAGGAGGTGAAAATGGGATCTGGGTGAAACCCAGCTGGTTTTACCCATTGTCAGTGCATGTGAGCCAAGCAGGTGGTGGCATTTCTGCAGGTTTGGGGTCTCATGGTGTGGCACTGTCGGGGTGAGTGGCAGCCCTCTCCCATAGCTGTGGGGCCTGTTCCCTCATTCCCACGTGGATCAGGTCAGGAGGTGACTCTGTTCAGCCCAGGTCACCCCTCCAGCCTCCCCTCCCATCTGCTCCAGCCGGGGAAGGGAAGGGGGAGGAAGGAAAGCTGCCGTGGGCTCCCCCCTTCTCACATGTGGGGCGAGAGCCCAGATGGCATCCCAGATCTCTTCCTATGGGATTGAGAGGAGGTTTCCTGTTGAGAAAGCTGCTCCTAATCGCTGCCCTTCTGTGCTGTGTTGCAGATCAGGACCAGATGAGCAGAGGGAGGTTTGTGTGAAGATCAGAGTCGCCCCAGCGCTGCCCCGGGAAGCGGCCGCGCCTCCGGCTGTCACCGCTGCGGGCCCGGGAGACACGCAAGAGAAGGAAAATGTCCCACGCTTTGAAGCAAGTGTTCAATAAAGACAAAACCTTCCGGCCCAAGCGCAAGTTCGAGCCGGGCACTCAGCGGTTCGAGCTGCACAAGAAGGCCCAGGCCTCGCTCAACGCCGGCCTGGACTTGAAGGTGGCCGTGCAGCTGCCGCCGGGCGAGGAGCAGAACGACTGGGTGGCCGTGCACGTCGTGGACTTCTTCAACCGCATCAACCTCATCTACGGCACCATCAGTGACTATTGCACGGAGCAGTCCTGCCCCGTCATGTCGGGGGGCCCCAAGTACGAGTACCGGTGGCAGGACGAGCACAAGTACCGCAAACCCACGGCCCTGTCCGCGCCCCAGTACATGAACCTGCTCATGGACTGGATCGAGGTGCAGATCAACAACGAGGACATCTTCCCCACCAACGTCGGTGAGTTTGGGTCCCAGCTGGGGCTGCGGGGAGGGAGGGGGTGCGGAGCCTTCTCGTGAAGCCCCTGTTGCTGTTCCAGGAGATGCTGCAGCACAGCTGACTCCTGTAGCAGGGCAGTGAGCTCTTCCCAGCTCTTCTGCAGTGCTGGAATGCCCAGAGCTGTACCAGATCCCACTGGGAGTCATGGATACCTCGAGGCAGTGAAACAGTAGGCTGCCCTTAGAGCAGTTGGTCTCTGAGGTGGCTCTGGAGTGGCTCATGCTGGATGCAGGATGGTTCTGTGGGAGCTGATGGCCAGCCCAGGTCTGAGGCACAGCTCTGTGTCACCTGGTGATGGTGTCACCTGCCATAATCACCCCCTCTGTTATTAGAGGCCACACTGGCTGCCTCTGCCCCTCCTGAGGCACAGGCCATGTTTCATCCACTGCCATGGACCATGGAAACAGGAGTCTGGCCTAAGACATCTCAATCTCCATATCCAAATGCAGCTTGGATTGTTGGGTTTTATTTTGTGATGAAGATGGAATCATTTAGTCTCTTAAGTTATCAGGTAAATACAACTGAGCCTATGCAGAGCTTCCATCTCCTGGGGTGGAGGAGATGAGGTGCAGCAGAGCTCCCTCCCTCCTTCCTGCTCCGGTGTTCATCCCTTTGGAGCTCTGATGGGATGCAGTTGGTCCCTATTTGGGGCACATCTGCCACTTGAGCATCCACAGGGATCCTCCACTGTGCCAAAATGCTGCTTAAACCTTGTGTTGTGTGGGCAGAGAGGGGAGAAGGGCCATAAACAGCCAGTTTTGAGACAGCTGCAGCCCCAAACCCTCCCCAGCCGTCCTTCTCACGCTGCACAGGCTCTGCTGCAGCTCTCTGGGGACCTCGCTGGGAGTGTTGGTTCTGTTCTGGGCTGCAGGACGAGCTTCCGACAGCACGAGGGTTGTGGTTTGGGGTTTTTTATTTGTTACTGTCTTCAGCTCAGCTTTTATCAGGTCCTTCAATGCTGACTGAAATGCTGCAGCTCTGGCAGAGCAAGGAAAGGGTTTAACTCATCCTTGTTCCTCCAGAAAGAGTGTGAACTTTACACCCTGATAACCCATGGAGGTGACTGCATGGCCAGACTGCTCTGCTGCAGGAGCACAGCCAGACAGTCCTGGAGCCTTCAAAGAGGACCTTAACAGCTTTAATTTTTAACCAGAGAGCTAAAGATGTACCAAAACAAGGGATAACTGTAGGGAGTTAACAGCACCAGCCCTTTCCTTTGAGAAATTGCTTGGTTGTATCTGGTGTTTTGCACTGTTTTTATATATAAATCAAACAGGAGTAGAAGAAAACTCTTGTTTGACTGAAACAACTGCTGGGAATGTGGGCTCTGCTTTCACAGCAGTGCATCACTCTGTCACTTAAAAAAATCTTTGCTTTGAAAAATATGATCCAAAGGAAAGGAAAACGGAGAGGGGAGCTGGAAATGACCAGGGACAGAACTTTTGACTCAATCTGTCCATTGTGCAAATTTATTTTAGCCACAAGCAACTAGTTTTAACTTGACCAAAGGTTTTTCATGGCCACTCTTCCCCTCCCAAGGTACTCCCTTTCCCAAGAACTTCCTCCCAGTGGTGAAGAAGATTCTCTCCAGGCTCTTCCGGGTGTTTGTCCACGTCTACATCCACCACTTCGACAGGATCACCCAGATGGGCTCGGAGGCCCATGTGAACACCTGCTACAAGCACTTTTACTATTTTGTGAAAGAGTTCAATCTCATAGACACCAAGGAGCTGGAGCCCCTGGTGAGTGCCTGGTGGGGCTCTCAGGGTCTGTGGGGAGTCACTGAGGGCTCTGGAAACCTTCTCAGGAGGCCCCACTTCCAATCCTGGGGTCAGTTTTGGCCCCTCACTCCAACGAAGACATTGAGGGGTTGGATGGAGCATGTCCAGAGATGGGAACAGAGCTGGGAAAGGGTCTGGAGCCCCAGGAGCAGCTGAGGGAGCTGGGAAAGGGCTCAGCCTGGAGGAAAGGAGGCTCAGGGGGGACCTTGTGGCTCTGCACAGCTCCTGACAGGAGGGGCTCAGTCTTGTCCCAGGTAACAAGTGACAGGACAGAAGGGAGCAGTCTCCAGCTGTGCCAGTGGAGGTTTAGATTGGATTCAAGGGAAAATTTCTTCACTTAAGGGGTGGGGCAAGCATTGGAAAGGTCTGCCCAGGGCAGTGTTGGAGTCACCATTCTTAGAGTGCTCAAAAAACACGTGGCTGTGACACTTGGGGACATGGTTTAGTGGTGACACAGCAGTGGTGGGGTAATAGTTGATGATTTTGGGAGTTTTTCCAACCCTTAAGTATTTCATGATTCTCTTCTAAAGCTGGTTGCCCAAATTCAGGACCAGTTGGCCTTGCAGTGCAAGTGTCAGAAACCTGGGAGTCAGGATGTGACTGGGATGTGCTGGGAATAGAAATGGTGGGGAGAACACAGCCATGCCCAAACTGGAGCTGTGGGCAGCAGGGTCACTGGTATTGACAGCTAAACACAGGGGTTTTTTATCTACACCCTCACCTGGGGGCCTGGATCCTCCTTTCACAGTCCCTTGTCTTCTCTGTCCCTTTGACAGAAGGAAATGACCTCCCGGATGTGCCACTGAGCTCAGACCTTCCTGCTCCCACCTCGGCACCTCTTCCGAGGACTCCGAGCCCCAATCCCACATTGGAGACGTGATTCAAGGGGAGAACAGAGATGTTTCGTTTAAGAAATTATATATTTTTAATGAGTTTCAATGTAAAACTGTGATACTGCAGGGATATTTTTTTAAAGATGCTCTAGATTAACTAATTTTTTATAGTAATTTCTATAAAAAAAAGAAAGAAAATATTTTGTGGGCCACTTGATGGGAATGTTGGCTCTCGGAGTGGGGAAGAGCTGCCTGAGCTGCCTCCTCTGTGTGCCCTGAGTGAGCTGAGCCAGACTCTTCACACAGAGCTGTGTCGTGGGGCTGGTGCTGCCACGGAAGCGGTGCCTCCCTCGGGATGCACATTTCCTGAAGGCAGGGTACAGGACTGGTGTACATGGATCCCCAGGTGTGGATCTCCCAGCACCTCTTCCACTGGCTGTGAGTCCGGGTTTGGGGCAGAGCTGCTCTGTGCCCACCTGTCCCCAAGGCCTGGCTCTCGTGCTCTCCCTCTGAGCTGGGACTGGGCTTCATCCGTGGCTGCCACAGCTGGGGCCAGTGCTGTTGGAGTGGAAATCTGCCCTCTGCACACACAGCCCGGCTGTGGCTCTGCGCTGTCCCCATGGGGACACAGATCCACACTGGCAGCTCCTCATGGGAGCTACCAGAGGGAAAGTGCTGGGACAGGCACCAGGAATTCTCCTCTGTCCCCTCCCTCCCTGTCCCTCGTGGTACGCTGACCCTGCCGGGACCATCCCGCTTCCTGCTGGGGTATGGAGCCTTCTCCCCGTTCCCCAGCATCACCACCCTGCCCAGCTGTGCACATCTGGGACCAAAATCTCTGCTGTGCAGCCAGAGACCCCAGCCTCGCCCGCTGCTTGCACGAGGAGAGCTTGGCAGTGCCCCCTGGTAGGTGGTGAGTCTACCTAGGATCTGGGACCAGTAAGTGACCAAACTGCACCACTAACCATTTCTTCCTTACAAAGCATTCCCGTGCCCTGGAATCTCTGTACATACGTGACTCCCTCATTTCTCATCTGCCGTTAGGACACTCGTACAAATACCACTCGTGCTCTGAAATGGAACCAATAAATTATGTTGTATTTACACAGCACACGCCGCTGCCGAGCGTCTCGTGACTGCACGTTCGTCAGAACCTTCCCATCAGCAAAACAAACACGGGGTGTTTGGGCTCCCTGGGGATTGTGCTGGGGAGCTGGGAGCTCGTGGGTGTGTGCTCCTGGCACAGCTCCTGGGGCTTGGTTGGGTTCCTCCCGCTCTCCATGTGCCAGGTCCAGGCTGCTCCGAGCCCTGCGCTGGGTCCCAAGGCCATGGGGCCTGACCAGCAGCCTGGGGTTGTCCTGACTTGTGTCTGCAGTGTCTCTGTACCCAAGGGTTGAGCTGTTCTCCGAGCTCTGAAACTCGGGTGGAAGTGGGGAGAGGGGAATTCCAGCTCACCGACTTGCCAAGAGGCTCCTCTACCATGGGAAGGAGCCAGGGGTGCAGTCATTGAGACTGGTGGACTAAATTGGGAAAAACTGCATTTGGGGGATGCACATTGTTTTCCTGTCCAGGAGGGAAGTGAGAGGCTCCCCAGCTGTAGCTGCTCCTGTTCCCTGCCTGCAGCACTGGCTCTTGCCTGTTCCCCTGCCTGGTGGAAGTGCTGGGACCACTCTCCAGCCCCTCTCCCAGTGTTGTGTGGGTGCAGCTCAGCTGGAGAACATGCTGTTCCTTGGTGTGGAATATCTCTTTGGCCAGCCTGGGTCAGCTGCCCCAGCCCTGCTTCCCCCAGTTGTTGTGCCCCTCCTTGCTGGCAGAGCACGGAGCACACAAAGTCCTTGGCTTAGGGTAAGCACTGCTCAGCACCACCAAAACACTGGTGTGTTATCAGCATTATTCTCATCCCAGATCCCAAACACAGCCCTGTACCGGCTACTGGGGAGAGAACTGGCTCTGTCCCAGTGAAACCAGGACACGTGCTGAGCTGTGGTGGGGCTGCAGGTGGGTGGTGAGTGGTGCTGGCTCAGCCCTCGGAGCCAGGGCAGCTCCTGCCACTGTTCCTCAGCTTCTCTTTTCACACCCACCTGGAGTGCTGTGGGTGCTGAGTCCGGGCACGGTGTGCCACCCCAACCAGTTGTGACCCCCGGGGCTGCAGGGACCTGCCTTCCTCAGCCCCCCTTTCTTTTTGGGGGAAAGACCCTCCCATGAGAGACCAGCTCAGCCAAGGGAGGAAGAGGAAAAGCACCTTTGTAGGAGATGTGGCAGGGCTGGAGGTGCTGAGCCCGGCCCCACGCCCGGCAGTGCAGGATGTTGCCCAGACAGGTCTGTGGAGCCACAGCTCAGCCTTCTCTGCCTCTGCCCCGGCAGCCCCAGCCCCACTTTCATCTCCCCAGGCTTTCATCTCGTGTTTACTTTCTTCTGAGCTGCAGCTGTGAGCGCTGCAGGGAGCAGGCAGCTGTGAGCCCCTGGGGCTGAGCCCCCAGGGCTGAGTTCCCAGTGCTGAGCCCTCCAGGCTGAGCACCCCAAACTGCAGCCCCAGTGCTGAGCACCACAAGCTGAGCCCCCCAGGCTGAGCCCCCCAAGCTGAGCCCAGCCTGGTGAGGTGTTAGCCTAGATCAGCACCTCTCGGTGGTTTCACTGCTCATCCCCCTGGCACTGGTTGGGTGCAGAAGCATCACAAAGGCTGTGCTGAGCATCCAGAGAAGAGCTTTGCAGATCTGCTCTGCAGGGCCTGGGCTGAGCAGGTACCGTGCCCAGGGCTCCAGCAGCCTCCCTCCTGCGGGGCTGATCCCTTCCCAAAAAGCACAGATGGCATCTGCCCCGGAGCTGGAGCGGGCGCGGGCTGGCACAGAGGGGGCTGTGGCTGCCGTATGTTCCGAGAGAAATGCTCCTTTCCTGTGCTTCAGAGCAGGGTCTCCTGCTGTTCCCAGGAAGCTGTGGCTCGTCCTGATCCTCCCCTGCTGGGCTTCTCCATCCCCTGAACCCTGAGGAGCTCAGGAGCTTTAGAGCCTCAGTTCTGCCATGGATCTGGGTTTAGGATTCTGCCAACAACATCAGTTTGTCAGAGATGAGTGATTTAGGGTCACTCAAAGAGTCACTGTCAATGCTGTTAGCGGAAGTTATTTTAATATGAATCTATGAAAGTGGGATTTAACAGAGTACAATAATGAGGTTTGCTCTGGTACTTCCTACATGGATGTAAAAGACTAAGGAAAATCAAGCTGGAATTGAGCTGGAGTGATTTACACTGAGACTGAAGATTTAAAAGGGTAAGAGAGACCCTTCTGTTGAGTACAAGGTTCAGACAAGACCCTGCTGCTTCCTAAACTCCTCATGGACCTTCGGTACAGCCCAGGTTCAGTCTTCTCAGGTTGGACAGTGGTTCACATATGAAGGAATTAAATACATGGATTTCATTGATGTTAATTCAGGCTGTTGTCAGGAACTCACTGAGGAGCTGTTCCAAGTAAGGGTCTCTCAGTCCCATCCCAAACCCTGAGACGTGTCCCACTCCAGAGCAGATCACAGCTGCAGATTAGGGGGAACTCAAACTGGACTCATCCAAAGATCTGTTGTTGGTGGAAAGGTCTCTGTTCCTTGAGGCACAGGTCAGGAGATGTCCCTGCTCCAGGACATCACGGCCCAGTCTCACTGCCAGGCAGGGAGAGCTCAAGGTGCCCGCTGGTGCCTTGCTGGCAGGGTGATGGCATGAAGCAGGTTTGGCTCACAGGGAAAAGTGCAGGGGGCTCCTTGTACCTACAACTTTCATTGTTCATTGATCATTCTTGGCAAAGCCACCTGCTCTCCATGTGTTAATCCCACAATCGGTTCTGAGCTCACAAGCATTGATGCTCCCTGGGGCACTCTGCTCCTTCATGGGTTTCCTGGACTTTTTGGCTCTGGCCTTTTCCTCCTCTGGATCCCAGACCAGACCATTGCTGGGTTGGTGGAAGGGTTGAGCACCATCTGTCACAAGTCCCATCAGGGTTTGCTCAAAGTGGGGGCAGCCTTTGCACAGACCCTTGGAAAGCAGCCAAGGGGGAGCAGGGGCTGGGGGTCTCCTATGACACCTGTGGCTGCGTGTCCGTGGGGTCTGTGCCAGAGCCACGTCCCGCTGGGTGAGGACAGGGATGTCCCCACCTGCCACCACCTCCCTGGGCAGCAGCTCCTGCTCAGAGTGGTGCTGGGGCTGTGCTGTGACAGAAGGATGTCCTTACACTGCCCTGCCCTGCCCCTCCAGCCCTGGGCACTGTCCCAGAGACAGCAGGGGCACCCCTCCAAGGGGCCCTGCGCCCACGGACTGTGTTCCCATCCCCAGGAGGTGCTGCCTCATTCCATGCACCTTTTGAGTTGGGAGCAGGAAGGTGGCATGAGACATGTCCCTGCACAGCTCTGCTGTCACACTCAGCCCCTCAAGACCCTGGGAGTGCCTCCGTCCCTCACCGTCCCTCATCCCTGCACAGGCAGCAGACGCTTTCCAAGCTCTGAAATGTGCTTTTTGTTTGTTCTGTGCTCCCTGGACAGCTGATGCCTCTGGAGCCAGATTCCCCAGGGTCCCTGGCAGCCTCCAGCCCTGATCCGTGCCCGCCTCCTCCCGGGCAGGGCTCTGGGTTTGCTCTGCTCCAGTTTTGGGCTCCATGGAGGAGGTGACAGCCATTCCTGGGCCAAGGGAGCAGTCACCAGCATGGCACGTGCTCCCTCTCCCTTGTATGGCACAGGCCAGGCCAGGAGCCAGCAGCTCCAGGAACATGGGCAGGACCTGGAATGTTTCTGGGAAAATGCTGGAGCAGGGAGGACATGTGCCATCCCCGCGGGTGACACCGACACCGAGGCCACCTGCTGCTCTGGCCCCACGGGGACAGCAGGTCCCTCCTCACCCGCTGCCTCACCAGGAGAAGGGGCCCCAGGATCATTTTTGCTCCTGGTGAACAAATCCCTGCTAACCCCAGCGGCTGCCGGGACTGACGTCCTCCAGCACGGGGTGTACAGGCCCTGCTGTGGTTTCAGTGCCCTTTCCAAGGGAGCAAGGGGAATTTTTTGATGCTTTGGGAGTTTTTTTGCTCCTTCTAAGAAAATATGCAACATGCCAGCCTGCACCTCTTCCTGCCACGTCCCTGGGCTTCCCCAGAATGACCCAGCTGCAGGGGGTCAGGGCTGCTGCTGCAGATTTCCCCCTTCCTAGGGAATTTGGAGGATAGAGG